CACCCGTGCACACAGTAGAATAAAAGGCATAATTATGGTGCTTTTCACAATAATTTGTGATTATTAGAAGGAATGGATGCAAAAAAGTTAAGTTTTGGACATTCCTGAAAAATATAAAAATCTTGCTCCATAAAAGAACAAATTTCGGTGTTAGTACATTGTAGAAAAAAGCAGAACATCGAGAGCTGCATCTATCTGATAGAGGATGCTTTTGACAACTAAGAATATGAACCCAAAGCAAGCCCATAAGACATCGTAGTATAAAACCCCTACGATTCCCTTCAGGCTATGCTCGCACTCAAGAGTGAAAATAAGAACATTTTTATAGCTCAATAAAAGAGAATTTTATATGTAGTTTATTACATGTGACTTTTTCTATGTTTATAAATAATTATGAAGCTTGCGAGCATTGATGAAAAGTATCATTGAATGCCTATATGGCTAATTCCAACTAATAATGCATTCGAATAGTAAGTTAAAAACAAGACTGATGAATTAATTTACACAAAAATGGTTGGATCTTAATGCTTCAGTAGTAAGCACAAGCTAATAGCTAAAAAATAAGCTCTAAAAACATAATGAGGAAGAAGGATGACCCTTTTGTTAGGCTGTTGAATAGGACTTAGCTACCAAACTAGAATAAACATATGAAGAAGGCATATTGTGTTTTTCAGGCCTCATAAAGTAATTATTTGGTTGGTTATAACGCTGTGCATAGGGTTTTGCTCCAAACATATGGCAAAATTGGATGAATCCCTCGAATGCGTCGTAGTTTCTTTAATATAAACAGTTATTTTAAGAATGATTGATTTCTTTATTAGCTCGGCAAGTTTTTAATGTTTTAGAGTCAGATATTGTCTATGATATCATTTGAAGTTCATCAAGGATCTAACAATGCTGAAGAATAGTGCACTAGACAGCCAATTTCAACTACACAGACATCTGGTGCGTGACCATACTAGCTCCAAAGAAAAATCTGCCCATAATTTCCAGAAAAAGCATACTAAAATGCCTCAGCATCCAGTTTTTAATACGAAATTTAAGTCAAAATACTCAAACGGCCTAAGAGATGCTTTGAAACCTAATTATTAAACTTATTTAGCATAAAATTCTGCGTTAAATATTTGTTGAATTTGTTTGACCTTGTTTTCGAAACTTGGTCATATTAGCAGAAAAGCCTAAAGGAGCTATTATAGATCATTTGAATAGGCTTATTCAAATAAACTAGAACTATCACATTTGGGGGGCACACAAGAAATTAGGACGAGGCCATATACTTGGCATTAGGGATGGAAGATCGGGTGCAGCGGAGACCTTTGATAATTGAATAATAGTAGATAAGTTTGCTCATAGACATGGTCCATGAAGTAGACTTGACTACGAGATTTACTGTGCACATGCCGCATAGTTTTAAGAGAATCTGCAGCGTCAAGTTGGATTGTCATGCCAATTAAGAATCCAAACTTAAGAGACTTGCTCGGTGAGGCTGGTGTATACGTGCTATCAAAGGCCTCGAGTAGCATGGAACTGTTTAACAGACAATTGGTCAAAGGACCGACTTCACTTGTCTCTGACGAATTGTAGTGTGATGCTAAAAATGGCAAGGCTAAATGACGATTCCGGTAAGATGTCTGAGAATATAACAAGTCCACGGTCCGACTCTGGAAATTATCAATCATACTATTGACTCCGGACAAGGTGCGTTTCTTTAGGTCTTCTTGATAATATAATAAAGTTGCGAAAATGAGGTGAAACAACTTCTATACAACCAAAGGATACCGCGACCACACCATCTTGGTCTTCATACCTTCTATTAAATATTAATTGTAATCAAGTTGGTATGAGACATCTAGAATTGTTACGATTATGAGTTGACAGGCGTGCTTAGCATGCTAAATAAATTTATAAAATTCGCTTCCTATTTCGGTCATACAAGTATTATCATATTCCACCACTTTCTTGTAAACGTTTTATTTCCAATATTTAAATTTTATGTACTAAATCCAGATCCATTTCAACGAAAGCGAAGAGATCTAGCTTCTTGGTAAAATTATTTTAATTAAAGTGTTTTACGTAAAATAGTGCTTTTACAATTATTTTTACTGTGCGATTCGCCTTCAGGTCCCAGGCTATATGCCGCATATTTCTTTAACAATTATGTAAAATATCTCTCTGCTGACATTTTATGTTTTTTTTTACTTAGAATCTTACAAAAAATATCCCTACATCCCAAAATCGATAGGCAAATTATAATATTTTAAAGCGCATTAACTAATTTAAAATGTAAAGCAATAGATGGTGGATGGAAGGTGCGGAGATGTAATAAAATAAAATAAGTAAAATCGATAGATAGCAAAGTATAAGATAAAGTCAAATATAATATTTAAACCATGAAATATCATGCATTCAATGAATTACGTCTTGTGCCAAAGCTTCTAGCGCAGCATCATAATCCTTTTTGGCCTTATAGAAAAGTCCCAGCTTCCTGAAAACTTGTGATCTAATAGAGTTTGAGCAGGCATGTTGCAATTTAAGAAACGTCCATTGCGCCTGTGCAAGGTAGGCCTCAGCTTCATAGAGACGATCTAAGGCTTTAATATTATTGCATACGTAATTAAGAAGCTGGTAGTGCATTGGAAATCATTTTATTGAAATCTATAAAAGAATTTATTTGCCTGGAGATTGCCTACTTTGCTACTACTGTTGCATGGTAAAATATTCTTCTATTGTGTTTAGCAAGCAATCTAATATTTGATTTCATCACACAACATATTCAATGAAATTATCCTTGGTAGATTACCCAATTATCATGCATTTGCTTTGAGGCTTCAGAATTAAAAATTATTTGTCCATAAAAGTATGAAATATTAGCTAGCTTTATGCGAATTTAATCATATGTGTATATTGTTTATGCACATAATAAAGATATTGACAAATATTCAAATAAAAATATAGAAAATAAAATGATTTTTGTCTCAAGTTAATTAGCTAGCTTGCCAGAAATTAAAAGTAGCTTAAAAACTATTTTCAAAGGATAAGTATACTTAGAGTTCCCCGGTTTATGTATTGGTGAGAAAAAAACAAGTAAACTACCCTATCTGGCAACATCCCTCTTATCAAGGTATCCGATCAAATTAAGAGAGGGTATATGCAATAGTTTTAAGTTTGCTTATAGATGAGCTATAATAATAATTTATAAATTCCGAACAAAAGTTTGGGTAATAAAAATGAGTGAATGGAGCAAACCAGCATTCACTTAATTTATGATGTAAGTACATATATTTTTAGCCTAAAGCATAATAGCATAGGCAAGTTCGAAGAACCATTCAGAAAATTAAGGATATAACCAAGACTGAAGGTCAAGCATTCAAATAGACCATTGCTTATACGTGTAAAATTATCATAACTAAAGCTTTCCCGACTTCAGTTTTAAACAAGTCTTGCATCTAGGATAATAAGGAATTAGGAGAAATGATGCATCCATGATAGTGTATTGTATACAGAGACTGATATTTGAGTTACTCTGTACGATTTGGACAATTAATAATTTTAAAAAAGATAACTGCGAGTATATCCGGGACTATATTATCAGGTTTATACTTTCAAAAAAGTTACTCTACCGAAAACTAAAAACAATAAGCTTTTAATGTATAAAATAGTATTTTTTTAAAATAATGTAACATAAGAAATGCTTTCTACACAAATAAATAAAGCACATATTAGTCCTAAAAATCTGCCATGTTTCATAGAAGCATGTAATGCGCACCATAAATGTAAAATAGGTTTAATTTAACTAAAATTTAATTGATAGAAGTTTTACTTACCAATACAGGAATCTACTAGTATTAAGTATGGAGGGACTAGGTTAATACTCGCTAATCCATACAGATCTACTGTAAATTTCAGACATTGTAGAGCCGCCGGCACAGCTTCCTCTGCTTTCCCTTCAAATATTAATCTTCTACCAGTGAGCTCAGTGAAGGTGATTATTTCTAACTACAATAAATAGACGATGTATACAATATTTACCAATTTTTCGTTCCTATCTTCTTTTCTTTTCCTTCTTTCTTCTTCAGATGTAACAAATGGTATAGGTTTACGTAGTTCCATCAGAGAGCTACATAATCGCTCATGAATACCAGCCCAATCAATCTTTTGGTGATCAAGATCGCTACATTCACTATCATAAAAGAAGCCACTTTACCAGTAATAAGTAACTCTACATAAAGAGCATTGAAGGAAGGCTGGCTTTGAACATAATTCACATTTATAATCTGTTCCTTTAGGGTTTGCTAACGGATAGAATGGGTGAGCTGGCGGAGGGTTGTTCATTTTAAAAGTACCAATTCAGGTGACTATAGTAACAGAAATATTTTATATACTTTAAATTTATTCGATTTCGAATTTTATATGGCTATATGCTAAAATATTTTGAGCAGCACTAAAATGCAATTTTAAAACGTCTATACTAAGCGGGCTGGTCTAGCAGTACACGTTGACTTCTGGATTTCCACAATATGGGGAAGGAAACTATACAGTCGGACTTATGCAATCATTGCAGGGTAAATTTCATTAC